GTTGTTTGTGCATCTTTTTCTTCCACACTTTTTCTTTCCACTCAACTTTCTGTTAACATGCTTGGATATAGCACTCTGTGAACAGCCAGCTTCTTTGGCAATTAATGTTTGTGGCTTACCCTCCTTGTGAAGGGTGTCAATGATTGTCTTCTGGACAACTGTTAGATCAGCAGTCTTCCCCATGATTGTGTAGCCTAGTGAACCAAACTGAGAGACCATTTTGAAGGCTCAGGAAACCTTTGCAGGTGTTTTGAGTTGATTAGCTGATTGGCATGTCACCATATTCTAATTTGTTGAGATAGTAAATTGGTGGGTTTTTGTTAAATGTGAGCCAAAATCATCACAATTAAAAGAACCAAAGACTTAAACTACTTCAGTCTGTGTGCATTGAATTTATTTAATACACGAGTTTCACAATTTGAGTTGTGAAAACTTTTCCACGACATTCTAATTTATTGAGATGCACCTGTATATTAGAATGACACACAGAAAACTGGCATTCCTGGGGGCAAGTTTATATCTGTATTCTTCTTAAATTTATGGATCAGGGTTAAATATGTAACTTTGTCAACAAAAACACACCAAAAAAAAAAAAAAAACATGCACCATGATGACAGTTAAACAACTGTCTAAACACACTGTTACCAAGAAAAAAGTAACACTGCAAAATACTTATGATGCACTAACAATTTGTTAACCTGAAAGCACTTCTAATAAGAAGATCAGGTTCAGCACATTAGCCTATAATCACTACATTTCGATGAAGAGTGAAAGTAATTTGTGTTTATAATTATGTTCAATCATTGTTGTCATTTTCGAATACTCATGACATCTCTATCCTGTTCATGTTTCCCCGTCTTATTCCGGTCATTTTCTGCCATCTCTCTGCTTTCGCTGTCAATAAAAATGCTAAAAAGCCCCTAAAACAACTCCATTGTCAGTGTGAGTGAACAGGAAAAGGCCTTTGGAAGGGAAACAATGCTCTGTTGTCACGGTAACAGCAAGGGCTGCTCTTTCAGCCCGTGCATCATGTTTTTAAAGAGCTTTTGATTCCACCATTAGTTTTTTCAGCCCTTTTATTTGCTTTAGTGGTGAGCAGGGAGTTTCTCTTTCTCTTTCTTGATTGTAAATGTCCAGTGCAGATCCACATTTGGTCGGGATCTCTGTGTTTGACCCGTGTCTGCTTTTTCCTTGGAACATTTCCAGCATGCACCGTTCCAGATTTTATCTCTCAGTTTCGTAGATCAGATTTAATTGTGTCCCAAGTGTTCTTTGTTTGTTTCCCGCTCAAGGATTGATTAGCTCAGCCTGAATGAATTCCTCTCTCCGTTTATTTTTCTCTAGTTTGGAAACACGTGCTACTGTAACTCAGTGTTGCAGGCTCTGTATTTCTGCCGGCCGTTCAGGGAGAATGTGTTGGCGTATAAAGTCCAGCAAAAAAAGAAGGAGAACCTTCTCACCTGTCTGGCCGACCTCTTCCACAGCATCGCCACGCAGAAGAAGAAGGTGGGCGTGATCCCTCCCAAGAAGTTCATCTCACGTCTGCGGAAGGAGAATGGTGAGGGAACCAAGGGATCGAGGGTTGGCTGGTTAACATGGCCTAGTTAACCACTGCTCAGAGATACCATACCTTAACCATTATGAAGGCAAAAAAGCATATCTAGCGTAGCTGTGTATTTTGATAAAATAAATATTTTTGCTAAATCTATTATTAGATATTTATATATAAATATTTAGTTTGAAATTTAGGGGTTAGTAAGATTTTGTTTTAATAAATTAACATTTTATTCAGCAAGAATACATTTAATTGGTCAAAAGTGACTAAATTAAAAGTGAGTAAATAAAAAAAGTGACTGGAATAATGGCTGCTGAAAATTTAGCTTTGCCAGCATAGGAATAAATTACATTTTAAAATATATTCAAATAGAAAACGGTTCATTTAAATGTAATATAATTTCAGAATATTACTGATTTTACTTTATTTTGATCAAATACATGCAGAATTGGGGAGCATAAAAATACTTTTTTCAAAACAATTTAAATCTTATTTTTGAAGGGATTTAATAGCATATAATTTTTTTTTTATTAATAATTTTCCATTTAGATTTTTGTGGATTCCTTTTTAATAATTTAATTAAATGCTAATAATCAAAAAGCATGTCTAATCAAATTAAAATCAAATCAGTTTTTATTTTTTCCCCTAAAATTCATTTTATTTTTTTCAAAATTCTATTTTAATATTTTTAGGATTCTGTGTTTTATGATTTAATACACATTTATCATCAGAACTATGGTAATCAAGTGAATTCATGCAACACGCATCTTTTTTTGCCAAATTCCACGACATTCCACACTGTGTTTTAATGATTTTGTGATTCTGTCTGTGTATTCCGCTTCCTGGAAATCATAGGCCCCTAATTCCTGTGGTGTCATCAGCATCATCACAACATAATTGTTCTGAAGCACCATAATTATTAATCACAATGCCTTTACGGCTCAGGTAATTGGTTTAAAATCTATATTAGCAACTGAGTGCACATAAACAAATTGGCAGATTTCAAATTACGTACTTTCATTGTGCAACCTCCATGAATGGTAATGAATTGCTCGGAAATTTGTGGAACAACATGTTTTCAATGTTGACTGAACAAGTGACGCATTCACAAACGTAAGACAGACTGTAACCGACTGTATTTCTTTCCAATTTGTCCTTCAGATAAAGATAAATACAGTGTCTCTGGCTAAGCCATCTGTTTACTACGAATTTGTCAAGCCAGAATCTCACTAAACTGCTAAAATCTGATTTTCAGATTCATTTGGTTGTTGTAAATACAGTGGGTATAGCAAAGTATAACCCCTCTCCTTTTTAAATAATCACATTTTGTTGCTTTGCAACCTGAAATGAAGACGGATACAGTTTTTGTTTTATCCACCTTTCATCCAGTTTGGAGCGACGTCCTGATCCAGGGAGGGTCTGTGTTGTACCAAATACCTTCCACTTCTCAATAATAGACTTCACTGTGCTTCAAGGCATCGATAAAGCCTTTGAAACTTTTTTGTATCCATCTCCTGACTTGTGCCTGTCCACAGCTTTATCCCGGGGATTTTTAGACAGTGCCTTGCCAACCAAAGTTGATTGTTTGCTTCGGTTGCACTACCAAGGACTGAAATGCTCCAGGAAAGCTCTTTTCATGCCAAGCTAATCAAAATGACCACAGCTGATCACAGTTGAAAGTCAAATGGCTTTGTGTTCCATTGAGAAGGTGATTAGCTACAACTGATTGAAAGTCATTTTTAGGAGGGGGGTGAACCTTTTTCCAACCGTGATTCTGTTTTTTTTTTCTTTTTTTTCTTCTATTTTTTCCCTGACATGTTGGTGTTATACAGTGGGTACGGAAAGTATTCAGACCCCCTTAAATTTTTCACTCTTTGTTATATTGCATCCATTTGCTAAAATCATTTAAGTTCATTTTTTTTCCTCATTAATGTACACAGAGCACCCCATATTGACAGAAAAACACAGAATTGTTGACATTTTTGCAGATTTATTAAAAAAGAAAAACTGAAATATCACATGGTCCTAAGTATTCTGTGACCTTGGAGTAAATACAGCTGGATAAAACAAAAACTGTGTCCATCTTCATTTCAGGCTGTAAAGCAACAAAATAAGAAATTTAAAATCTACTTGTATCCAGTATATGCAAAGTTTGATGGTGAAGATGTCAACATGAGTTTGTAGGCAACTACTAAAGCAGTAGCTAGCGTTCAGACAGAAGACTGTGAAAAATCAAGCCTGTCTGTGCTAACAGTAAGCCTCTGTGCGATTAAGCTGAATGAGAAGCAGGTGTAACAGATCAGGTGTGTGTGTGTTTTGAGGGAGAGGGGAGGGATATGTCGTATATAAGAGAGGATTTGTTCTTCTGTCTCATTCCAGAAAATGCCCTCGCTATGAATTAACAATACAGACCTCTATCAGAGAGACGTCACTTCACCAGCTACACTCACTCACTCACTCACACAGTTAGTTATATGATTGCACATGCTAGACGAGAGTTAATTACATTTGTTATAGTGTTAACTGGAACATTAACTGAAAAAGCCTGAAAAATACAGGTTTTTAACATGATTTGCGCTAAAGAAGTTATTACAGATTTGAAATATGCTATTGAAACATGTTTTTTTTTCCCCTAGTGGATGAACCATAAAAACGTTGACAGCCAGAATCCATACTGCTTTGACATAACTACAACTGACAGACGACATAACTACAACACACACTTATTTTAAAAAAAAGACTTTATTGTGCATTTATTTGGAGGCTAATATAGTTATTGTTATAGTTATCCTTATAGTTGTTATATAAGTTCTTATAGTTCTTGGTGTGAATGGGCTTTTAGGCTACAGATAGTTCCTTCTGTCATTTGCAGGATTGCTTGCTAATGTTACACTTTTTGCTCTCGGATTCTTCCTGTAGACCTGTTTGATAACTACATGCAGCAGGACGCCCACGAGTTCCTGAACTACCTGCTGAACACAGTGGCTGACATCCTGCAAGAGGAGAAGCAGGAAAAACAGAACGGACGGCTAAAGAACAATGGCACTGCCATCGCCACGGACACCGAGCCAGAACAGAACAAGGCCGAGCCCACCTGGGTTCACGATATCTTCCAGGGCACGCTGACCAATGAGACGCGCTGTCTCAACTGTGAGACGGTATGAGTGTTGCTATGTGAAATGTTTGCTTCGTACACAAATGCAAATATTGGTGAAGTGCAGTTCTATACTTCAGTTTACATACCTCTCGCAGAATCTGCAAGATGTTTATAATAATAAAAAGAATGATGATGGTTTTGTATTTTGTTATTTTATTTATTGTATTATTTGTTTTATTTAATACAGCTATGGAAGCCCGTTTCTGCGAATGGATTAAAAAAATAAAGGTAATTGTGACTTTTGAACAAAATTTTGGGGGTATAAACTCATAATTTCAAGACTTAAATTTAAAGTCGCAATTACCTTTTTTTTTTTTTTTTTTTTCCATGAAGCAAATCTCAGAATTGTAAGATAAACTTGGAATTCAGAGAAAACAAGGGCCAAATTCTGATTTTATATCTTGTAATTCTGTTTATTAAAAAAAATCTGAATTATAAAGCAATAAATAGAATCAAGATAAATTGTTTTTAATTATTAATCTTTTTTTCTTTTTCTTTTTTTGTCTTGCAGAATATTCTGCCATATGTTTTGCAGCGTCTTCAGGGACATAGTAAATAAAATGTCATATTTAAAAATGTAATGTATAATAATCACTTTTTATGACTTTTTAATATGAATAAAAATAATATATAATTTTAAAATCTAAACATCTGAACACTGCAAGGGATATGTAAATGTATGAGCAAAGCTATATTTCATTTTCAAAAAATGAATTCTCTTCTGTTAGCCACAAAATTATCGTGAGTGGTCTTATACAATGACATTCATCCAATCATTTGAACTTTGCAGTGTCTCTACTGTGTGGCCCACTTTTCAGTCTTTTCTTTTGATTAACCGACCTTTTCTTTGCATTAACACATTGCAACTAGACTACAGTTGAGTGCTAACATGCTGTCACACGCCTGTGCTTTAACACATCCTCGCTTGTGTCTTTCTACAATACGTGCAAAACAACAGGAAACAATCAGGTCAACAGAGTGCAACCCATTCACCTTAAACAACTGAAACTGTTCGTAGAAAAGGGTCGCCAACATGCGTGATAAACATCTTTGCAGAAATGAGTTCCCGCTAACTCTCTGCCCCTTGAAGATGCTTGACAACTAATATTGTCCCTGTGGGTTGCGAGATCTCAGTTTCCGAAGAGATGTTTTCTCTTCTTTCCCAACACATAAGTGCTTTGTGAACTCACACGCCCTTTGTTTTTACAGGTCAGTAGCAAGGATGAAGACTTTTTGGATTTGTCTGTCGATGTTGAGCAGAACACTTCAATAACACACTGTCTCAGGTAAACATGTACACACTGTATATAACATAAATGTAATCACACATGCTGATGTACACAACCAGTTGTTTTCCTCTGTTCATGGCCTTTGATAGATGTGTTTTGTCTGATGGTTTTTACAGGGGCTTCAGTAATACAGAGACCCTGTGCAGTGAGTATAAATACTACTGTGAGATGTGCTGTAGCAAACAAGAGGCACAGAAACGGTGAGCGTCAATGTGTCAGAAAGTTATTGATATAGTGTTGTAGTGCATGTAACAATGCAGTTAACAAAGTACTCTGGCTCAGTTGTGAAAGTGCATTGGTGCTGCTTTATACACTACAATATGAATGTATACGTACCAGTGATTTATTTTTTTATGATCTTGTGTGTATTTATTGTAGTATGCGTGTGAAGAAGCTGCCCATGATCCTGGCTCTTCATCTGAAGCGCTTTAAGTACATGGAGCAGCTGCATCGGTACACTAAACTGAGCTATCGTGTGGTCTTTCCACTGGAGCTCCGCCTCTTCAACACCTCTGGAGATGCAGTCAACCTCGACCGCATGTACGATCTCGTCGCTGTGGTGGTCCACTGTGGCAGGTATGAGATCTGTCAAACATGTACGTCTGCAACATATAAAAGCAAACTGTCTTAACACAGTCTGCCATGTAGGTACATTAAGTCATATGTTATAAATACTGACCATATAAGCAGTCGGAGTCTCAACAAACTGCAAATATATTTGCCATAGTGTGAAAGTACACTATTATGGTAATGTTTTTCTTTAAGAATAAAGCAGAATAAATTAATCAGAAAAGAGAAAAAATTTTAAATTTAAAATTGTTTTATGGTGAAATATTTAAAATATAAATTGATTTCCTTCAAAAGTTTAAACACTGCCTCTGTAACTGTGTGTATTAGTGGCCCAAACAGAGGGCATTACATCACCATTGTGAAGAGTCACGGTTTCTGGCTGCTGTTTGATGATGACATTGTGGAGGTATGAACCTTATATGCACACATATATATATATATATATATATATATATATATATATATATATATATATATATATATATATATATATATATATAGAGTGAGGACCATGTGATATTTCAGTTTTTCTTTTTTAATAAATCTGCAAAAATGACAACAATTCTGTGTTTTTCTGTCAATATGGGGTGCTGTGTGTACATTAATGAGGAAAAAAAATTAACTTAAATGATTTTTAGCAAATGGCTGCAATATAACAAAGAGTGAAAAATTTAAGGGGGTCTGAATACTTTCCGTACCCACTGTATATATATACTGTATATATATACAGTAAAGAAATGTATAATGTTATAAAAGAGAAGACGTTTTACAGTTTCCACAAAAATATTAAGCAGCACAACTGTTTTCATAATTGCTAAAAATAAGAAATGTTTCTTGAGCAGCAAATCAGCATATTAGAATGATTTCTGAACGATCATGTGACACTGAAGACTGGAGTAATGATGCTGAAAATTCAGCTTTGCGTCACAGGATTGAATTACATTTTAAGATATATAAATTTTAAATTGCAATAATATTTAACATTTGTACTGTATTTTAGATCAATAAATGGAGCCTTGGTGAACGAAAAAGACGTCTTTCAAAAATATATTTTAAAAAACTTACCTCAAACTTAGAATGGTAGCATACAGTCAAAATATAAATCCTAATGCATGCAGAATACAACGCTCCTCTTTTCTGCTTTTTCTCACCATTTTTTTCTCTATCTATTCCTTTCCATTTCTCTCACAGAAAATTGATGCACAGGCGATAGAGGAGTTCTACGGTTTGACTTCTGACATTTCCAAGAACTCTGAGTCGGGATACATCCTGTTCTATCAGTCCAGAGAATGAAGGAGCAGAGGAGGAACAAATGAAGAGGAGACCAAAAGGAAGGGTATATGTGAAGATGATATCCGCTAGATTCCTTTTCCACATCCCTCTCCTTTTCTCATTCTCAGGGTCTCCAGCTGAGACTGAGTTGCCAAAAGCCCTCTGTAACCCCATTTGCCAATATGACATTTCCCAAAAGTTCCATTCTCCCAATCTCGCTGCACTCTGTGGGGGGAAAAAACACATCTTCAAATCTGACCCTCAAGTCAGTCACCTGCATCTGGAAGGCACTTTATAAACAAAAACGACAATAAGTAACACAAAAGCAACACAACAAAAAAATCACAACATATTCAACTACAATACTTGTGGAATCAAACTTGAAGGAATCAAAAAGCTACAAAAAGAGCAATGAGTCCTGGTATTCTAGCAAGAGTCACTGCTTCTGTTTGTTTAGTGCCCAGGAAAGTGCCTCTCATCTTGGGTATCTGAAACCAGGAGGAGGGTTTCTCTCTCAATCTCCGGCTTAAGATGAGGGAGCCATTTCGGGTCCCTTTAGATGTTTCATACTGTGATGTCTACTCATCAGTCCTCCTTCATACGACTTTTACCCAGTAGCTGGTGAATCCACACATCCTAGTTCAGTCCTGGTCATCGCAGGGGCTGTTTGCACTGTGTAACAATTTGTTTTGGATTTTGGGATGTTGTTGGAATTAGATTATGATTCTGAGTGGTCTGTTAGATGTGTGTGTGTGTGTACCTGTTTTTCTATTCTGGTGGGGACTTAAACCTGAATACACACAGACTCATGGGGACTCGTGTCACGGTGGGGACCTAAATTGAGGTCCCCACGGGTAAACAAGCTAATAAATCACACAGAATGAAGTTTTTTGAAAATCTAAAAATGCAGAAAGTTTCCTGTAAGGGGTAGGTTTAGGTGTAGGGTTGGTGTAGGGCAATAGAAAATACGGTCTGTACCGTAGAAAAAGCATTACGCCTATGGGGAGTCCCCACAAGGATAGCAAACCAGACGTGTGTGTGTGCGTGCTTTTGTGATAAATGAGGACATACATTTGTATAATGACAAAGGTATGACATAGGTATTACAAGGACAAGGTGACTTTTCAGGACATTACCCCATGTCCCAACTTTTCAAAACGCTTATAAATCACATAGAATGGAGTGTATTGAAAATCTGAAATAGCACAAAGTTTCCTGTAAGGGGTAGGTTTAGGGGTAGGGTTGGTGTAGGGCAGGGGTGGCGAACGTCGGTCCTGGAGAGCCACAGCCCTGCAGAGTTTTGCTTCAACCCTAATCTAATACACCTGAACAAGATAATCAAGGCCTGAAGGGTTACTAGGAAGCTACAGGCAGGTGAGTTTTAATTAGGGTTGGAGCTGAGCTCTGCAGGACTGCGGCTCTCCAGGACCGGAGTTCGCCACCCCTGGTGTAGGGCAATAGAATATATGTGCTGTACAGTATAAAAACCATTACGCCTATGGGATGTCCCCACTTTTCACAAAAACAAACCTGTGTGTGTGTGTGTCTGCATTTAGTCATGCAGGCAGCTGCTGTGAAGTGACTTTGCTTTTCATCCAGAAATAGTTGCAGACTTGTTACCGAGAGAGTTTTCAAAAGTTGTCCTATTGAATTCTCTGCTCTCTTCCAGTAACAAAGAAAAAGTGCAGAATTGCAAGGCTGAAATGCTGCTTTTGTCTCCTTTCCATTCTTATCTATCACTGTTGTTACCTTCCATTGTAGGTAATGGCCTTACATAGACACGTGTGTTAACAACCGTGCAGTCATCTCTTGTTGTTAAATTCACCCAAATCTGCCGGTCCCAACTGACTTCATCCCACAAAGCATTCTGCTTCAATCTCACATCTAGTTCCTGCTTTAGTTACTCCGGGTGGGTTGAATCCATCTTTTTTTCTCCTAAATAGATGTTGTAACTTGGTCCCTGGTCATTTTTTTTTTAAAGCAAAATGATGTGGCATTTCATTTTATCATAACTTTTAGGTGTTAAAGGTATATTTCACCAAAAATGAAAATTTGCTGGAAAGTTTACTCATCCTTACGCCATCCAAGATGTAAATGAGTTTGTGTCTTCATCAGAACAGGTTTGGAGAAATTTTGCATAACATCACTTTCTCACCAATGGATGCTCTGCAGTGAATAGGTGCCAGCAGCTGATAAAAAACATCACAATAATCCACAAAAACTTGTGAAGTGTAAACATGCAAAAATGAGTTTGCAAGAAACAAATCCATTATTAAGATGCTTTTAATTTCAAAACATTGCTTTAGTACAGTGGTTCCCAAACCTGTCCTGGAGGACCCCCTGCCCTGCACATTTTGTATGTCTCCCTAATCAGACACACCCAATTTAGTTCTTGCAGTCTCTACTAACGAGCTGATGAGTGGAATCAGGTGTGTTAGATAAGGGAGACATACAAAAGGTGTAGGGGCAGGGGGGCCTCCAGGACAGTCTAGATAAAATGGGTAAGATCAAGCATAGTTTACAAGTCAAAACAGTTCTAAACAAATATGTTGGTGAATTTTTGATGTCAGGACAACAGGGGATGGAAGCGTTATTTTATCTGGAAGCAACAGTTTGAGTTTAAAATGTTTTAAATTCATTATTATTACAAACGCACAGCTTTTGCTTCACACAACATTAATTTATAGACTGGAGTCACATGGATTACTTAAGGATTATTGAGATGTTTTTTATCAGCTGTTTAGACCCTCATTCTGACGGCACCCAATCACTGCACAGGAGCCATTGGTGAACAAGTGATGTAGTGCTGAAAATCTGTTCTGATGAAGAAACAAACTCATCTACATCTTGGGTGGCCTGAAAATTTTAATCTTTGGGTGAACTTCCTTTAATACATGAAAATTTTGGACACAGATGTGAGATCAGTGGTAGTAGAAACTTGAAATGCACTAGTCTTGAATGTGGTCAGTAAAGTTTAGGTCTTATCGAAGTATCTGATAGGTCGTTGCTGTTACGATAAGAACATGCGCACAATTATTTCAACTTTGTGATATGAGTGGCATTTATCTGAGAGGGCTTTTACTATTTAATATACGTTGTAGAGTCAGGAGAGAATCTGACTTCAGGTAAATGGGGAACTTTATAGAAGGCAATAGATAGACTGATAATCCTGATTTTTAACATTTAATTTTGTATATAAATGGGAGAGATTGTCTTGAAATGGTCGCCGAAGGGAAACAAGGTGCAATACAGGGACAAGATGAACATTCCAAACTCATTTTACCCCAACGTTACAACACTTTGTATTTTTTATAATAAACTAAGTTTATAGAAACACTAACAACTGATCGGTACTCCCGTTTATTTTGTGTATAGCTTTTTATATGTTTTTAATTTAGGCAAATGTATAATTGACCATTTTATTCTCTCAGAAATATTGTAAAATAGTTCCTCAGAGTCACCATACTCTGAGTAAAAGTAGCTCACAACTGAAATACATGATTTATTTGCCTTTTTTCAGTGTAACAGTAGAGTAAGTGATTAGACAAAAAAAACTGGTGAATAGATTTTATGATGTCGATTCATCCATTCTAGGTCTGTGGTACCTGTATCTTCACACTCCTCAAACAACATTATAATGTGTAATTATATATTAAAGCCACACTACATGCAATATAGATGTATGAACACTGTGTAACAACTGTGTGAGATTGACTATGCAGTGTTTGTGTTTGTCCTGTTGTTCCCTGAGGCTTGACAAATGCTGACTGATTATTTGGACGGTTCTTTCATTTGTAGTTTCCCAGTGATTCCAGCAAAGTGCTGTTTCTCAAAAAGAGGAGCATATGTGGTTGTTTGAATATGTTTTATTGGTACTAAGACCACATTTCTCTTCAATGCCTGTTCTTTTGGTTGGTTTGTTAGTGATCAAAATCAACAGAAATGTGCCAAAATTGGGGTGGGAAACGCACAGTCCTTTGAACTGGAAAATGAAACGGATATTTCTGTGTCATGAAACTGTACATAAATATTATGTAGACATATTGGTCAGAAATAAATTATATATTTTTTAAAAACTAGATGATTCTATTCAAGTTGACCTATTATTCGCATGGGGAAGTCATGGTTAAAAATGAAGAAATTAAAAGCTGATGAGTGTTTGTCAGAGATGGTTTGATTTCAGTCAGGTCCCTTATGGTGACCTGGATCATTTAGAAGTTTGTTCTGTAGAGTAGCCTAACCTAAAAGTACTGTAACTGCTTAATACTGTTGATTGAATCCCCACACACACATAAACATGAACATCTGGATATGTTAAGATCCACCTATTAGACTGTAACTTTTCACAATTACACACCTTTTATGCAAAAACACACCTGTCTGTTTTGTCTTCTTTTAATGTGTGTATTTTTTTTAGGTCCAGAAAAGAGATGTACAATGTGTGTGTTTGTGTGTCGGAATGAGAAATACCAGGACTCAAACGCTAACGGAAAGTGTGATAACTGTAAGTGCACTTTATCATAGCAGAACCAAAAAGGTTTCAAAAAGGAACTGGAATCCTGACTGAGATTCTTTTGGTTTATTTTCCTTTCCTCAATAAATGAAACGCAACTTTACCAGCTGTGGCTCAGCCGTGCTTTTTATTCATTTGTTTCTTTGTTTGTTCTCCATGTGTTCCTTTTCATTTAGTTCCTGCTTTTTGTGGCTGACACACATCTTTTTATTTTCCTCTTCGGGGTGACTAATAAGACAGAACATGGCAATGTTGTACAAAGACACAAAAGGCTGTAGGCAGAGAGCAGGAGGGAGAGGGAGTGAAAGCTGAGAAGGATAGACTCATCGAATGATTGAAATGACGAGAAATTAAAAGCTTGTTTACGGAAAGTCCTTTATGTGCCTAAAATGCTGATGCATCAACAGCAACAAGCATTTTTAGGGATTTCCTGAGAGAGATGTTTGACTTCCTGTGTGTGTGTAAAAGCAAGGCATGTGTGACGTCTTTACGCACAGTAAAATAAAAGAACACCTGCGACAGCAAGTCGGGGAGAGTAATGAGTCGTGTTCTTCTAGATAATCAATGTCTTGTTTTTGTGTGTGTGTGCGTGTGTTGTAAGACCCCAACAGATGCGTGAACATATATGCATCACAGTATGTGTGTCACATGCTGATCAGCATGAAAACTGGTGAAGTGTATGTGTTTGTGTGTGTGTGTGAGAGAGAGAGAGACAGTCCTTGACAAATCAGTTTATTTTATACTTCGCCTTGTTTGTGGAACATAATCTGGTTTAATCAAGCGACGCTCTTTCATATTTCTGTGTGATGGAGGGATGTGCTTTTGTTCTC